ATAAATCCAGCCCAATTTAAGGGGCTTCCTCCTCAGTGAAATTCTTAGGAGTCCAGTGCTATGGAGCATGCAGATTTTCATTCTGAGGTGAAGGATAAGTTATTGCACTTGGCTCCTCCCACCACCAGGACAGAAGCACAACATTTAGTGTGCCTTTCTGATTCCGGAGAGAGCACATTCTTCACTTGGGTGTGTTATTCTGGCCCATATACCAAGTGACTTGGAAAGCTGAGAGCTTCAAGTGGGGCCTCCAGGCTGTCGTGCTCTACCACTTGGACCATATGATCCAGCAGACCTGATGGTACTTATGGTGGTAGTGGCAGATAGGGATACTGTTTGGAGACTTTGTCAGGCTCCTATAGGTGAAAGCCTATAGGTGAACCACAGAAGAGACCTTTGGGATCTTGGAGCAAGTATCTACCACCATCTGAAGATAACTATTCTCCCCCTGAGAGTCAGCTCTTGGTCTGGTTTTGGGCCTTAGTGGAAACTGAGTGTGTGGCTGTGGGTCACCAAATTATCATGCAATCACGAGAGGGCAGCATTATCTGACCAACCAAGCCTCAGAGTAGTACAAGCCCAGCAGCGCCCATTTGATTTGGTCCAAGTAGGTTTTGAAGGCACAAGCAAGTTTCATGAAGAATTTGCCCAAATGCCTGTGGTTTCTGTCTCCATAATAATATGCATAACTTCTTGCTTCTAATTCCGTAATTAAAATATCATGTTTTTAATTGAACATAAACCTTCTGTAGGTGGGGCAGCCCTAGAGCAGCAGAGTAGCAGAAGCCCTCTACACAGAGGACAGCCTGGGCTCAACAGGGTCAATGAGAACTTAGCTAGCTCTGAGACCTGGGGCTGACCTCACTGTGAGAAGAGACAGTTCTGGGAATGTTTGGGAAGCACTCTAAATCCATTGAGCAGGGTGCCTAGCGCTCCTTAGGCACTTGGTGAACATTAACCTTTCTGATCCACTCTGGTTTGATAGGTACTGTTTGTTACTGTTTGACTATCTTTCATTTCCCGCTCCCTAGACATAGGAAGCTCAGGGTCTAGTTTGTCATGGGGAGGGAGGGTGAAAACTGTTGCTGTTGGCTTTAGAAGAGAGAAAGCAACCAAAGAAGCAAAGGTGAATTTGATATTAGCTGAAGAAAACCGCAAAGTATCGAAACTCTTCTTTGACATTAAGTCCCAGAATAAGTGCCCTTCTTTGTTAATTTCCATGGTGAGCCACAGCATGCGTGCAACTGCAGCTCCCCTCTCGGGACACACTGAGATAATAGTGGTTTGTGCTCCTTTGTCTCTGCTTCTCATCTTCATTCTTCCCTATGCTGTGACCTACTTCTGAGTCCTCCAAAACTGCCCAAGACTAATGTGCTTCATGGCCAAACAAGCAGCCCTTCTTCTTTCCTCAGCCTTCTGATAGTGAAGCTCTTTGGTTTCCCTGGCAGTGTTGTCTAGTTGGCCTTTCTTGTCAGATTTCTCTTGGGGTCTGCCAGCTCCTAAATAATACATGGAGACTTCTTATTATGAAAACTTGACCTTTTGCTCAGACTTGTCCACACTAACTTTTATAATTTAATTAACTTGTTTCTATTAATCTACATTTTGCCACATGGCTTTTTACTTGTTGGCATGGTCATATCTGATGGCAACAGCCCAAGTCGTAAAGGCAGCGTAGCTGCTTGGCAAAGACCCAGCAAAGCGGAGCGGCACCATGCCGCCGTGCCGCTTTTGGTTTTGCTCTCCACATGTTGGGTACGCGAGGGGACTTTTAATATTTATGCAATTTGAGGATATTAGATTGAAGGAAAATTTCTTATGAGTCATTTGTGCCTTCTCTCAGGAGTATTGCTTCTAAGCTTCCAAAGGAAAGTCCTGAGCTACTTCCCCTCCCGCTTTAGGAAGATAACCTTATCTACTTGAAGGTCTTCCTTATGCCTCGGAAGTAGTGGAAGCCAAAGGTCTCTTTATGAAGATAAGAGATATTTTTGAAACATCTATCCTTGGACTTACTCAGGAACACCAAGGCAGAGATATTGGGCGCTTAAAAGAAATCTCACACTGGCTCAGAACTGAGAGATAGGTAGTTATTTATTTAGGGGGAAAACTTACAAATCAGGATTCTCTGCTTGAACGGTGGATGGAGATGAGATCCAACCAAGAAAAACAGGAATCAGGGGTGAGGAGAGAAGGTGCCCGATGCCCTTCAGCATCCAGGTAAATAGTCCATGAGGCCACGCCCCAGTAGGTGGGCAAACCTTCCTGAAGCAGGAACAAGATAATCAAAGTAAACTTTGAAATGTCAACAGGATTGGATGGACTAGAGGAGCAGGCCACAGATCAGATTGCAAGCCTCTTCCTGCTATACACTCAGGTGATTATGTGGCACATATAGCAACAAAGTTACCTCTGCCCACACAGAAATTTATATCGATGGGCAAAGAATGGTGTGGATAGAAAGATGAGGTGTCAGAACTTCCCGTTTTAGAAAAGTTAGCTTGTGTAGAGCCACTGTGGTGTTTTATGACCAAGGAACAAAAGATTTCCGTGATTCACGTAAATAAATTCTATAAAGATATAAAATATAGACACTGTATTATGCCAGAAATTGAATAATAACTGTAGCAGCTTTGGCCAGAGTTGATAAACAGCTCGGGACATGGCAAACTGCCCAGGCAGGCTTGAAGATTTTCTGTCTATTGTCCTTAAAGCCCCAAAAGCTGGCAGTCTGAGAATGGGCTGTCATATACCTCGAGAAACTTAAAAGTTGTGTTACGGGGCTGATGAGTAAAATTGGTTGTAAAAGATAATTTTTTTCTGTCATGGCTCATCAATGATGACTAAACTTGTGACTCCAGTGTGCAAGAGGAAAAGCTAAACACATGTCTGAAACCAAAAATGTTATGATCTGTATTTTGGAACACATGAATCTCTCCATTCTTACTAAATTCTGTATAAAGAGGCACTCTTGCTGCTACTCAGTCAGGCTACAGGATTCTCTCAACAATCATGCCTGGCTCACCCTCCCCACCCCCCGCCAACTCCTTACCTCCTCTCTGGGACCTGGTTACTGCCAGGGCTGGTCCCTGGCAATCTGTCTTCCATTCTGTATGTCTGACTCCATTCCTGTCTTTCTGGTGGCTCCTTGTGCACCTAGATTCATCCCTTGTTCTTTTTCTCTGCCCAGAAGTCCCACCTAACCTCTCCTGCCTAGCTATTGGCCATTCAGCTTTTTATAGTGCAAACAAATATCATGCAACATTTCCTCCTTTTTGTGTAAAAAACTCTTAACACAGTAAAATTATATATGCATTAATAACAATTATCAGATAATGATTACATTCATAATGTCTAGTTCATTTGTATTTGGCGATTCAGAGAAATTACTCTTTTACCTATCCTATCTTAGTGAGTTCAAAGTTTTATACCTAAACCACTTTCTATCATAACTTGTATTGCTTACCTAAAAATACCTTTTTAGACCTTAAAACAGTTTCTTAAATAACTTAAACTCCTATGTCTCTCAATCTTATAAACTTTACATCTTTTATAAGTTTCTTTTTTGACTTTAGTAACAAAGACTATGATATAACTGTCTTAAGTCTTCAACACTAACAGAGACTCAAGAAGGATATAATATTACCTGAGTAAACAGGAAGTGTAGAGCAAAAACTTCCAGAACTCTAGAAATAATAGAGACAGCTTCTGCCTAGACAGTCACCCAAGGTTACTCTGTAACGTTGGGGCATCCATCTTAGGTCTGCAGGCCTAGAATATCTGACAGACTGTGAAACAGGAATTTTAAAGGACTGTACTACTTTGTCTTAGCAAAGTTCAGCAGTTGCTTTCTTTTGTGTCCTGCTTGTCTAGTTTGGACAGTATATTGTCAGTAATTGAGGCAAGGGCAGTTCTTGACCTAGTTTTGCTACAAAGAAAGCAAACTCCATATGGAGGTCCTTCAATGCCCTCCATCCTTTTTTGAAGTAAATTGGTGCTGCAAGGAGCAGGCATGTCTCAATGTCATGAATAGCCTTCGTTATTAAAACACTTTTAATGGCATGTTCTGTGGGTTTCTGAAGTTCTGAAAAACAATTTTATATCTAAAATATATCTCTGATTGACCTTGATGGGAAGAGACAGCACTCAGTCTCATTCTGAGATTCCTGGAGGCAGGATCACCATTTCAGATTGAGGTAGAGGTAAGAGCCAGTGGCTGTTTTGCTTTTCTGACCTTCACGTTGAACCCCAATATGTCTCTTGGTTTTTATTAATCATGCTTCAGGTTTTATCCCATTACATCCCTACATGTAGCTCTTCCTTTGAGCTAGTGTAGGCCTTCATCATTTCTTGCTTGAATACTATTAGCAATCCAGCTTTAAAAAGCTTGCTGCCCCTTTCAGCCTATCTGCCACAAATTGCCAGCCATTCAATACCTCTATTTGCACAGTTAGTTTTATTCTATTGCTCTTGGGATAGATTGTTGTAAATTGGCAGAAGTGGCCCATTATATTTAGGTCCCTGTGCACTGTTCCTTGGGTTCTTTCTGCTGCGTGCATAATTCACTGTGAGAGTACCAGCCCACTTGTAGTACCTTGTACGTGTCACTCTATCCTCACATATGCTTTTCAACATGCCCTTTTGTTGGGTTTCTGTGGCCTTGCAAACTCAAGTTTGTTTTGCTGACACCTCTGCTTCCTTGTGTTTCCATGGCCATCTTTGCACTTTTTATATCTGTTAGGCCATGGGCTCCCGGAATGTAGCATCATTCGTTGTTCTGTTCTGTGGTAAGACTAATCTCAAGACTTTGTATTACTATATGCTTTAATTACAAATTTTTAAAAATCTTCAATTCTGTTTTTCTTACTAGTTTATTAATGTTTATTGTGTCTTGGTGACTATTATTGAAAGTCAACTTCTCAAGACTGATTCTCATGAATAATTTAATGTTACTAATGCTTATATTGTATCTATTTTGAAATACTTTAATTTACTGCTTGTAGCTATAATGATCCAGCCTTCTATGAAGAATGCAAACTGGAATACCTCAAGGAAAGGGAAGAATTCAGAAAAACAGGAGTTCCTACCAAGAAGAGGCTACAGAAGCTTCCCACGAGCATGTAGGCAAATAGTGAGTCAGGAAGCCACTTGCAATATAACCCAAAAATAATGGACTGAAAAAAAATGTTTGCTCACCTAATCATGAACTACTGATTCTTTTGTATGAAATAAAATTCTTTATTTCAGAGTTGTCGTTTATTAAATATGGGATAGGAGGAAAACTAAATGGAATGTTTTTTTTTTTTTTTTTGTCATTGTGTTTAAGTTCTTCCACAGCTCTGACTGTAGGCACAGAGCTGATGGTCTCAGAATTTCATAAGTACATTACCTTCTTCCGGTCATGCAGGCTGATGCCTAGCATAGGACAAGAGCCATCAACTCTGCTCATGGTAACTGGACTTCACTCCAGCACTGAGTGTGCTACTGTGGGCACCAGTCCCAGTGTCTGTAACAACTTAGCCAGCCTTGCCAGAAGATTGGGTATATAGGCAGGGCTTTGGCCTTGACATGGGCTTATTTGAAAACACAGATGAAGTTAGGTGAATTAATTTTCTGCAACCTTTGATGGAAAAGTTTCTGCACTATGTTTCTTGATCTTTTCAACTTCGTATAATCTCTGATTTTAAGAAGTTGTCAAGTGTGAACTTCTGTTCTGTGACACTGGGGATTCGGGAGGAGGAACTGTGGTTAAGTTTCTGCTCCAGTGTGTTAATTTGAGCCTTGGCTGGGCTTATTTATTTATTATTTATTTATTTATTTATTTATTTCCACCATGTTCTTAAACAGAAAGATAAGATTTAGCTTTGGCTCCAATCCCATGAAAACATTTTTTTTTTTCTCATCCAAATGCGTGCTAAATTTCACACAGTACTCACCAAAGAACTATTTTACTCCTGTCAAAGAATCCAATTTTTCAGACCACAGAACAGTAAGAGGTGGCCAAAGGTGAGCAAATTCAGTAAGTCTAGAGACGACAGAATGGAGAGAGTCTGTTGCCACTGGTGCATCTTATAATGCACAGGGCCACAGTTCTTGTTTTCAGTGACTCAAAGAAAAGGTGTAGCAGTTGTTGTAAGAAGTGAATGAAGTTGTAACAAGATTTTTGTTGTGTGTCATATAATCAATAGGTATTAGACAAATTGCTTATAGTCATCTCTTGTACCTGCTGCAGATGTATCTTTGGTACACTGGGTTTCAGCAGTTGCACACTCATAAGGCATGTTTATTCTTGACTTACATATGCATTCAGTTTTATTTTGGCCTCAACTCAATATAAGAATCTTTAGAGGTGTAGGTTTTTCTCAGGCTAATAAGTTATCAAGAGGGAGGAACAGGTACTCCTTCTAGTATTGAGTTACAGGTGTGCTTAACTGGATTTCCTTACCAAAAGAAATCCAGCTATTCCAGAAAATTTCAAGGGAAACACTTTGGAGTGTTAGGCTAATATGAAAAGGACTAATAAAAATGCCAATTATAATGAATCACAAAATACAGATAGTACCATGCCACCTCTTCAACCACAGGGTTGCCTAAGTGTATACTTAAGCATTTCTGGCTAGGTAAAAATATTTTGGGGTTCATCTTTTCTAGCTAAGGACTCTTACACAGGTCATTAACGCTTAAACTGTTAAGAACATGAATCCAGCTGTTCTAGCATTCCTTTTTGATAACTTGTAACTACTAGGTAGAGGGAATGTTTGAGAAATAAAATTAATACCAGACTTTGGAAATATACATAGGCAAGGACATTATTTCACATCCAACTCCATTTTAAAAACAAAAATAATTTTAATTAAAACAATTTCTTGGCATTGTTCAAAACATTATAAGACTCTGTTTACAAAGGAAAACTTCTAATCTTGTTTTAAAAAAAGGCAAACCAGTATGCTACATTAGACACAAGACAGATGATGGACAGCTCCACAGCAACATGAGCAATGTCTCTGCTTTATTACACAGGTAGGTAGTTCCTTCAGTGAAAGCCTGGAGTCTTGTATTTGCTTTATGCATATTGGGTCTTGTTGTGTTACTTGGCAGGAACCTGTACTCCCTTGAGTGAGCTGGGTTCATTGGTCAGAACACATTCCAGCATCGACATCAATTCCATTAATCATGGGCAGGCATGAATAAGTGAGTGAGATAAACCAATAAAAAAATAACTGGTGAATAATGAACACTGTTGGGCTGTGTATGATACTCAGTAATACGAGATCTGAAATCCTTTAAATTCAGGATATATGAAATGCCATTTAGGAAGTCTTATGTCAAACAGGTAATACATGATTACGAATACTCTTAATGCTTCAACCCTGAAGGAATTTAGATGAATTTCCACATGAAACCATCTTTGTTATTTCCTTAGTTACTCACAGGTGACTTGCCAATTAGAGTGAATTTGGATACATTTCGTAATTAGACAGCACAAAATTTAGTTCTAGATGCAGTTAAATAAAAATCACTTTCTCAGATATCATACCACAGTATCAAAGCTGCTCTGTATAAGACAAACAGCTGTCCTGCCGAAAATGACCACACTGACACACAAGAGGTCACCAAAGATGCTGCTCTTTCCACTTCTGACTGCATGTTGTGTAGGTTGATATAGTTTACTCACACACCATATCATTTTTAACTACTTAGGATTTGAATATAGTGGGGAAAAGTTGGCCTCAATGGTCATTCGTTCAAGTCTTAGAATTCAAATTGCATTTTAAAATTGTATACACATTTTACTTAAAAATGATTCTAAATCTTAAAACTTGAAACACAATAGCATAGGTTTAACCTACTTTTATTCCATTATATTTCAAATTCTTATGCATCAGGAAGTCAAAGGAACATAACCTATTCACACTGCCATTTGCTTCTCGATACAATCTGAACCAGAAGACATGTTTTTTTTTTTTTTTTATATTAAAGGCTGCTTTTTATTTAATGAGTAGGTATTTAGGCAGGTCACATACTTTATGAAACCATGTCTAGAATTTCCATTTCCATTCTTAATCCAAGAAGCAAAACCTTTTAAGTGTTATTGAAGGTACAACTGGAAGTTTTCATACTGGAAATCCACTATATATAATGTTGTACAGAATGTACAAATGTACATATTGGAGAACTGCAAGGTTTTAATCAAAGTCCACTTCCAGTCTAAATAACCTCTTGGTAAACCAGTGGGAGTTGGCGTCCTCCTGTTCAAATCAAGAGTCCCATCAAATTAACTTTTGTAAAGACAGTTCTGATTATGTTGATCCAAGTAATGCAGTGGTGGCAAGTTGGGTAAAGGTAAGGTTTTGTTTTTATTTTCGCCAAATGCTGTCTCACTTGATTTAGGAGGGCTTGGGAATACCCAAGAATTATCTTCCAGAGAATTTCTGCCATAGGAGCTGTGCTCCTGAAAGTCTGTACCATCATTAGGAATCAGTCTCTCATTATCTGTCCACGACTGAAGAACTGCTTTCTCTGATAAAACCTTTATATCTCCTGGTAAAGGACATGGAGCATAACAAGCAGCTTTGCCATTTGGTGACAAAGGGGGATGTCTTTTGTATGTTGCAGTAAAATTTGTCAAGTGCAATTTCGTGCTGTCTCTCCCAAGGTCTTCAACACATCCTGCTGGGGTGCAGGCTACAAAGGAAGCACAGGCTAAGTGTCAGTTTCCTAGCAGTTGTGGCTGTAAACATGTCATATACTAACTCTGTAGCTGACACTAACATGAACACTGCCAGTTCAGTATGTTCATCAGGAAACTGGTTTGGAGATTCTGACAGACCACATACTTACTGCCACTGACTTAAGGTCATTCACTCAGCTGCAAGTGGATGTAGGAGTCCCTTCCTGCCGTGTCCTGCTGATGGAGAGTCTCCATGACATAGAAAGTGTCATCTCTTTACAAGGCAAAGACCAGTAAAGCTCTTGGCCTTCAATGTGGCGAGTTTTAGAGCATATTGGTGCCAGTGGGGACTGAGAAATATATTCCTTTGCTTATTCAAACTTCTCTGTGGGAGAGGGGCCAAAAGTAACTTATTTTTATAAATATACTTTGAATTCTTAAGAATCAAATGAAATTTTAACATATATTCAATGGTTTCTATGGATAAAGCTTTAAGTTCAATTTCTTAGAATAAATACAATGATTAATATAATTCTGCTTTAGTCAACATAAAAGGAAATAGGTCTTTCATGCATACAACGGCTCAGGAAAGGCCGCTGTGAGTAGTAGTTCGCCATAGCCAGTGCAGGCACACCACAGCATCTTCTACTTCTCATTCAGTCTGCTACAGCTGGAAGCTACATGTTTTCTCAACTTAAGGCTGACCAAGTGGACTGAAGGCGTGGCTGCATGCAACCTAATTATTTATGTGTGTGTGTGTGCGCGCACGCGCGCATAAGAATGCAGGTACACACACATGAACATGAAGGTCAGAGGACAACTTTCCGGAGTTGGTTCTTTGCTTCCACTTGTTCTTTCCTCAGACTTGTAGGTGAGCCCTTACAGATGCAGAGCCATCTTGCTGGGTCAACTCATGTAATTTTAGAAGAAACAAACTGAAACATTTAGGTGGGGGAGTAGGACGGGTGAACAGGGAGAAAAAACAAAGTAATTAATTCTTCTGGGCAGTAGTGATGGGCAGGTCAGGAGTCCCTTCTACTTAAAACCATGACTTTAGGGACTTGTGACCCCTGGTCACCTGGACTTAACACTGTCGAAGGAAATGTTCTAGAAACTGACAGTGCAAAGGCATTAAAAGCCTGTGTTCTCAGCCAATTAAGAAGGAAGACAAAATGGAAAGAGTTCTGTTTTCTGCTGCTTTGGAACACACTTCTGCTGTAAGTAGCTGTACTGACAGCTGATGCCCTCTAAGGGCAGTCTGACTTCTGCTCTCCACCTATGGTGTCTTCATAAGTAAGCTGAACTACTGGACAACGAGGGAAGGTGAACCATAAATTAGGTTATGCTTGCCTAACACCACATTAATTTGCCTGATTCTTAAGTACCCAACACTGCAGAAATCCAAAGAAACTTTGAATTCCGCCCCTTCCCCCCAATGTGAAACATTTCCCTTACAAACACTCCTGAGAATATTTTTGAAAGAATTTTCTTGTTCTCCTTTAGGACAATCAGAGGTGCAAATAACAATTTTAAATTAGATGCTGATCACCTTTCAAAGTCATCACATTCCTTTGAGAAGTAAACTTAAGGCATTGGATGTATACTGTATGCGTCAGACATAAACCTTTCTTGCAGTGGGAGATGCAAACACTCACAAAAACAGCGCTGGCAAAAGTGCCCACTACTAAGTTAACAAAAGCTCAAAAGCTTTAGTCAAACATTGCATGTAAAAAGAAAGCAATGCAAAGTTTTTGTTGAGTCTGCCTTCAATCAGACATCCTGTATGGAAAAGAAAGTCTCTAAGAAGATGTTAGGAACTAAATGAATCAGAGTTGTTTTGAAAATGAAGAGCTAGGTCTTTGGTATACTTCACAGTACTGAAATGAAACTTTGGTTTGGAGTTCTTTTTAAATATATAGTTGTGGTGAAGGGCCAACTAGAGCAAACCTAACACCTCAGCCTTACACATGAGCAACACTTGGCTGAGAAAAGCCACAAGGGGAAAGAATATAGTACTGAAGAAAAAACACCAGCAACACCTTTATGTGTGAAGCTGACCAGCTAGAGACTGAAGCCGCAGCAGGGAATGGGTGGAGTGGACACACTGCACACAGCCTGTGTATCACAGTCATCGGATGAGATTTTGCTAAGATAAAGTAGATAGCTGATCCTCAGACAGTGTGGCTGGAGTCGGCATCTCCAGCCAGCAGGGACTTGCCTTTCTTGACTGCAGCTGAGGTCTTCAGTTTCCTGAGTAGTTCTGCTTGCACCTGCGTCACCAGGTGTAGGTTAGACATCTCCCTCTTCAGCTCCCAGTATGCGTGCTGCATGTTATCACTAAAATGGAATTTTAAAAACAAGTTATACTAGTCCTTCCTATGTGTAAAGGGGAATAACTTTACAAGCAAGCAGGTTTATTTTTATATTGTTTTCTGACAATATAAATGAAACTAAATATATTTAATTGGAATGTTTTAAGTGAAAAACGCCTAGGGATAACATTGCCCCAATCTCAAGCAGTAGCCACTGTAACAAGCACATTATGATAAACATCCTAACCAGTGAGTTTCTTACTGGCTCTTAAAACCAAGGGTTTAGTTTAGCCAAAACTGCACAGTGCTGTTAGTAAAATTAGTAACTAGTAAGAAATATGTTCCTCCTTTGTCAATCTGATCAAGAATAAAATTGCATTTATTCATGTCTGGTCTCTGAGTCCATCTTTATCTTTGGATTGTTTTGACACTGTGAAATGAAGTAATGAGGAGATACCCGAGACCACATTACGGCAAAATTGAGGCTTCATGCATTACATTCTTTATGTCTGACTGGGCTGTCTCATACTGTTGCTTCTAAACCAATGTGACATGACAGCACAAGACATTAGGAGTCACATGACTTTCCCCATAACTAAGCAGCAGCTAGAGAAGCAGATTATAGGAAACAGAACTTCAAAATGCCCTTCCATAGTTTTATAATGAAAAGGATTTTATCTCAGAATCTGAAATTATTTTATATCTAATTTTAAAAGCTTTTATTGTCCATTAAATTCTCTTAGGCTCATGATTTTAGGTTCGTAATTGCCAACTAAGTGACTGAAATCTTCAGCACATATTCTTTTTTTACTGCACAGTCATACCTGAATTAGTCAATGTAAGAACTGACTCCATAATATTAGAACAACCACTATTACAGGTTCGAGAGTGTAAGTAGTATGGGAAGAAAACAAAGCAAACACGCTACCTCATGCTTCAATTTTTTTCTATCTAATAAATAGAACTTAAAAGGGATAACCCTGAAATCTGAATCTAGTATCTAATTCAAGAAGCAATAGGTATTTTAAAACAAGTTAAATTGTGTGAGGTAAAATTTTACCTCTTTTAACATTGTATTTCTACCCTACTTGGACTGCAGCTTTTGTATTATGAACTATACTGCTTTGAAAAAAAATCTCGCATTTTAAATATCATTGTTTATCCTCTGGTGTATTTAACCAGCTCTACATCAGAACCAGTAAACAATGGAGATGCTTTTTACAACTGCTGTTGTATAAAGAAGTCTGTCTTCAGTGTGAAGATTGCTGATTCCATGTAAGATTCTGGGCAGTGGATAGTTTCAAAGGGTCATTTCAAAGTTGGGTCCTCTACTGAAACTCAGGCACACAGGCATGAATAATATAGTTTGAAATTAGTTTATTGTTATAAAATGGTGAATTTGAACCTAACTTTAAAAATATTCATGATACTTGGGTACTCAAACACCAAGTACACGTCAAGTAAAAGATGATTACAAAGGTGTTAGTATCAATACCTAAAGTACATGTTAAAAATTCAATTTAATGATGATTGCTTAAAAATGAGGGTAAGATGAAACTACATCACCAAAATTTGTCCTTTGCTCTTATTATCACCTACACTAAAACTACAGATTAAAAAGATACGTGGACTGTGGGAGAAATACCTAAGAAACGGCTCAGAAGTTCAAGAGTGTTGGATGGAGGCTGCTTGTGGTTCCTGGCCGCCTGGCTAGCTTAGACCCGAAAATAATCACACAGAAACTGGACTAGTTAAATCACTGCTTGGCCCATTAGCTCTAGCTTCTTATTGGCTAACTCTTACATCTTAATTTAGCTCATTTCTATTAATATGTATATCACGACGAGGTCGTGGCCTACCAGCAAAGTTTCAGCATGTCTATCTCTGGAGGCCATGGCATCTCTCTGACACTCCCAGCATTCAGTACCTAAATTCTGCCTTGCTATAGGTCCAAATCAGTTTCTTTATTTATTAATGGTAGTCACAGCACACAGGGGACTTCCGCATCACAAGAGTGCTTACTGCTCTTGCAGAGGACCAGAATTCAGTTCCTTGCATCCAACTGCCTTTAACTCTAGTTCCAGGGACCCAATGCCTCCTCTGGCTTCTACAGGCTCCTGCACACCTATTGCCCCCATAAACATGCAGGTTTACAAAACACATGTACATAAAAAGATACATTTTAAAACCCTAAGATGGGTTGGCAAGTGACCTGAGTTAAATTCCTGGAAGCAAGGAAAGAGTGAAGCTGAGATCAACTGCACTGTTCTCTCCGACCCCCACGCAGGCTCTGAGGCACATGTCCACACTGCCCCCGATATCTAAGATTGTTACTGTTCACACACAGGCTCTGTGGCACATGTCCACACTGCCCCCCGATATCTAAGATTGTTACTATTTACAACTCCTCCTCTTGTGGATAACGACATCAAAGCATTATCTTTAAAGTGTGTGAAAATGATTGTTAATTCTATGTGTGTGAACAAATGCTGAAGCCATTATACAAGAAATGAAAAGGCAAGTTATCTCTCAACTTCTCAGCAGGGTTCCAAGTGTTTTTGAGCCTATGATGGACTGCATACCAATACCACTTTGCCCTACTTTCTTTAATGGGTGTGCAATCCTAACTTGCTTTAAATGACATAAGGAAAATACATTTTGTGTATATAGTTGCTTCTAAAGAACTTGTATTGCAGTTTCTTGAGTGCTAAAATGGTAGTCACTGTACTTGAGAGCCCTGAAAAATAACACATAGGAATAATGATGGCTAAGTATTCATTATGTGCTAGACACTTGACCACAGTCTCATACCATCTTGGCAAAATGGCTGTGTGAGCTAGTGTTCTGTCACCTTGACACAGGCTAGAGTCATTGGAGAGGAGTGAGCCTCAACTGAAAAAAATGCCTCCATAGGGTTAGGATGAAGGCAAGCCTGTAGGTCATTTTCTTAATTAGTGATTGGCATGAGACGGTCCAGTCCATTGTGTGTGTGTGTGGGGGGGGGGGGGGAGGGGGGGCACCCTTGGGCAGACAGTCCTGGATTCTATAAGAAAGCAGGCTAGGCAAGCCATGGGGCAAACCAGTAAGCAGCACCCCTTCACAGCCTCTGCATCAGCTCCTGTCTCCAGGATCCTGCCCTGTTTGAGTTTCTGTCCTGACTTCCCTGATGATGAGCAGTGATGTGCAAGTGTAGGCCATGGTGTTTCATCACAGCCACGGTCACCCTGACTAGGGCAGGGAAATCTCATTTTGCCCATGAGCAGGCAGGTTCAGAAGTCAACTCCACAAGATTGCCTTTTCAAAACTCTCTTACTTAGCCACTCTAAGTACTGATCACACTGCCCTTTTAGGGGACAATATTTTCTTAGGCATTGTTATTATATTTACACCATGTACCTGTAAAGGGGTTGATGGCCCACACAAATAGGCTTATTCTAAGTACAAATTTTCACCCCTCTATCTGTCTGCATCTTAGGAGAGCATTCTATGTCCTGTTGAGAGAATACTGTAAAGTCCTGATCTGTTAACCAACACTATTTAACAACCTTTTTGTAAATGAACACTGTTTATGACAAAAAAGGAGAAAACTCCTCATCTATGATTCCACTTTCAGACATACAGTTTTCTTTAGCATTTGAAAATTCACTCCATTACCTTAAAGAAGCGGTTTTCAACCTGGGAGTCCTGACCAGGCACCAGATATTTACATTATGATTCATTACAGTAGCAAAATTACAGTTATGAAGTAGTAACAAAATAATATCATGGTTGGGGTCACCACAGCATGAGCAGCATGAGGAAGGTTGAGAACCACTGCCTTAAAGAACTAAAATGGTATTTGTTATAGAATTAAAAGATGGATACTTTGAAAATTGTAATTTCTCTAAAAAAAAGTCTTTCAAGTATATTTGGTAAGTACGGCATAGCAGGTCAGGTCAAGCCTACCGGTAAGTAACTGTTGAATCATTTTTATAAATACATGATGACCAGAGATTACAGCCGGCACCCCGAGTATCTGCTCCTATGGTTAAAGCTCAAGCACATCATGAAGGTGGAAAGCACACAGACCTGTGGAGAAGGCCCTGGTGTGGAGTGTGCTCCTCCCTCGACAAGCTTGCTCTGATGCGATCTCTGTCCTGCAGAATGTCTTCCTGAGATGGACCCTGTCATGTGTTTAATAAAGAAAAGAAAGGAATTATTTCAGCTTTCTCAGTTCTTGACCATCACAGATGTTTCAACATCCGCAGAATACGTTTATAATTGTATAAAGTATAAGACTAGATTTCAGACTCAATTTTAATCATACACCGCCACCTATCCCCAAAATGTCCAAATCACTTTCAGTTATTTGGAGCGTTCATGCTTTCATTTTCCTTTTAAATGTGTTTGCATGAGTTTGGAGTCCTATAAAACATACGTTTGAACATAGCGAAGTGTAACCAATTATATTACTGTTTAAGGTATATTTGCATGAATTCTATGGAAAATGGGAGGTTTTGGCATTATTTCTGTACCCCCCCAAAAAGCAAAAAATGGACAAGTTACTGTTTTAACCATCGAGCCATCTCTCTAGCTCCAAATTTATTTACTTTTATGTGCACTGGTGTGTCGTTGCCTGCATGTATATCTGTGTGAGTGTCGGGTCCCCTGGAACTGGAGTTACAGACAGTAGTGAGTCACCATGTGGATACTGGAAATCAAACCTGGGTCCTCTGGAAGAGCAGCCACTGCTCTTAACCAGTTACTGTTTTAAGACACACATTTCCTCATAAAATGAATGACCTGATAAGAACTTTCCTGTGTGTGTAAATATTTTCAAAAACTACATAAAAAATTGACTCCAATTTCAGAAAAAGCAACCCCAACAAACCCCACGAACTGTGCCTGAACAGTGTTCTCACTGGGAACGCTACAGAATTTTATCTTATTTTCCATCAAATGCATATGGGCCCACTGGTTTTATTTTTCTTGCCGTGGGCAGAGGAGAGACTGTCGTGTTTTAAAAGCATCGTGTTACATTAGAATCATTCTCAGGAAATGTGGCCGAGGTTTCTAGTTGTCTCCTCAGCCCGTTCTCATCTTCTTTACTGATAATGGCATTTGATTTGGGGTTCGGCACTGTGTCGCCAGCTCAAGACTGCATTTCCCAAACTCCCTTGCAGGTACGGCCTTGGCAAGAACTTCTTCAAGTCCCCACATCCTTCAAACTTTTATTTATTTATACTGTAGGTGTGACACGACAAAACGAAACCACCAGTCCCCAAGCCCCACACCTATGAAGATACTTTTAAAGAATCTAATGTGCTCGTGATCTTCTCTCTTTAACAGTCTCACAGGTATTAATCTGTTTATCAGGAGGAACTGCTGGTGTAAGGATGAAAAAAATTTACTTAATACTTATATAACATAAATTATAGACCAGGCATGTGGCTCACTCCCATAATCTAATACTTGGGAGATGAGGAGGACTGCCATAAGTCTGGGGACAGCCTGGGCTAGAGTGAGTTCTGGGCCAACTTGGGATACAGAATAAAGGTCTGTCTCAAAAGTGCCATCTCAATGCTACGCTTTAGTGTAACAAGGGAAAGCTATTAGGACTTCACATATACCCTACATTTGATGTACTACAGTATAGGATTTCAAATAGTTTGGAGCCCTGGCTTTACTGCAGTGACAAAGTACATGTGGACAGCCTATGGAGAAGGAGAAACAGAATCAGCAAAGCATCAGGGAGGTCTGACCACCAGCATCAGAGACATGCTTTGGGTTGTTCTTTACTGCTCTCCATAGAATAGAAATTAAAATGATCCTCAGACCCCTTCAGTTTTTGTGTCATTAATTAAAAAAATAGGCTCTTTAGTGAATATTTAAAATACACATTTACTGGAAACCTTCTCTTGAAAGCCAACAATATAAAATAAATATTGTTAGGATAAGAAAATAGTTTTATACCTACTGTCACTGCAGAAAAGGTTGAACCTAGACCAGCAAAAATTAAAATCCTCAAAAGGATCGTCCTTAACATGCAAAAACTCCTTACGGAAGTGAGTAGGCTGCACTGCTCTGAACAGCACTCTTGGGAATTCCCTCAAGGTCCACATGTCCACATGCACTATAGCTTTCCTGGGACCTTCACTACACTGCCCAACACTAGGCCCCACACTGGCTATTTATTTACTTTAACTCAACGTATTATATCACTGTGGCTGAGTCTGAACTCTCAGAACCAACTGCTCTGAATGTAAATGGCCAGGGTAAGGTGTTGGGAAAGCCCAGCAGAGCCACCTCTGAAATGCTGACCTTCCTAAGAGCAAACACTAGTAGCCAAGTTTGCAAATAGTCAATAGAGAGCTACTAGTATGACCACAAAGGCTGCTGCTACACACCCTGAAGGTATCCTAAACTATGTGTCACATAAATGGTGTCTTAGCATTTTAAAATTATGGGCAGAGTAGACACAGACAAGTTATGAATGTGAACATAAACTACTTTCTTTGGCTCATTCTTAAATTTCTATATCCAAGAGGATTTTACTCAGATTTAAAAGTACATAAAACATCATAGTTTTAACTTGGAAACCTTGGGGAAAGCCGCCGGCTCTTGTTAGTTTGTGTCTTAGCATCAGGTGTGGTATTTTCCACGGTGAGACCCCCTGCTGGCAAGAATGCATGACTAGGAAAGCAGGACAGCATTCAGGTTCTCTTGCCCTTTCAACACTCCTCCCTACCTCACACCAAACTCTAAAGGTTTCTCGCCTCTCAAAATTCATGTCATCATCAGTTTAAACGGATGGAACTTTCAAAAGGTTCTTGTACTTCTAATAACCTGTTTCTACGAACTGCTAGCATACGATAGATATAAACTAAAAGCATATTTATTCCCTAGCACCACCTAGTGGAACAAAATAAGTAAGAAGAACCACAATCCACTTCCACAGACATTGTCTTTCTGAATTACTCTAAACAAATTTCTTTTTGTTTTAATGTATGTACTGAATACACTCTGTCCATGTACTATGCTAACCTCTTTATACAATCCCTAACTTAACATTTATGAAAAGAGTTATTTAATGCCCATAGAAAATAAATTTCTTGAAAGTAAATGACATTCCTAATTTCCACATTCAATAAAAAACACAGTGAGCCAAATTTCCATGATCGCATGGTACTGTTTCTCATTCTACAGTGAAAAGTCTATGTATAAAATGTAAACATACTTTATTTACAGAAGCTATCAAATTATTTCCTTTCAAAAAGAGAATACACACTGACAATGATTCCGAGTTTCAAAGTGCCAGTCTTCTCTAGCAGGCAAGCAAGCAAGCAGCTGTTTTCAAGGAACTCATTAGTGGCTGCAGTCACTGAACTTATGGAACAGAATGCTCAAGTCCGGAGAAATGGTGATGTCTAGCCAGCCACAAGTTTAAAGGTAGGGCAGTAATGTTTAGTGCAGTCAAGTAACAGAGACAGAAACCATTTGGGCTCTAAGCCAAGTAGACATCAATTTTTGTGGTGCTTTCTTTTGCCAGGTCCAGGGTTTCCAATATGGCTTCTCACTGTCCAGTACAGATGAAGTTAGTCAGGTGGAAGCAGAAAGCTCCCGTGCTCCGACATGCAGCTCATTCTCAGCGGGCACTGACAGATAAAGACTACATTCTACAAGAGAGAAGTGTGAGCACATCTGCCACATTTGGGGTGTGGGTACACAACTCTGGCTGAGTCAAGAGAATGGCAAGTACTCCACTTTTAGATGGTGACCTCCAGGGAAAAGTGGACAGGAGTCCTTAGCAGTATGTAAGGCTTTGGTGGGCAAATAGTTGAGGTGAGGATTAAAATACACAAATGTAAAAATATTCTGGTGCCATTTTTTCATATCCCCCAGCTTCATCTGAAAACTCAGCTGTTTTTGAACCCTGGGTAAATCATGGTAAACAGACTCCTAGGGAGAAACTGAGAGGCAATCTGCGTGAATGGATGACTTTAGGCTAAGCATGCTAGGGTGGAGGCAGTCTGCATGAACGGGTGACTGTAGGTTAATCAAGCTATGGCAGCAGGCTTGGTAGATGTTTTTCTTGTTCATTTTCCTAATTCTTGAATTCTCAAATGTTTTGAGTCTTTTGAAAGAAACAGGCTATGTAAGGCTTCCTTTGTTAGTGGTAAGCTTGTTTTTTTTTCCCCCAAGAATTCTATAATGATGTCTCTTTTGTCTGAACTAACCAAACTGTTAGGTTAAATAAAATGGAAAAAGTTAAAACTAAGTTCTCTTTAAAATTTTCAGACACATTCAAAATGAGAGGAACCCTATGGAAGGAAAGTTTGGGGAAAAATTAAAATAAAAATTAAATTATTGGTGGTTTGAATGAGAACAGTCCTCCTGGGCTATGTTTAATGCTTGGTCTGCTGTTGACACAACTGTTTAGGAAGGGTTGGGAAGCACGGCCCTGTTGAAGGAGGTGTGAGTGACACTGGAGGGTGGGGCGGGAGGTGGAATCTGAGGTAAAACAAGCCCTGGGATTCCAGACAGCTCTCTCTCGCTATCTTGCGCCTGTGAATCAGATGTTAGCTCTTTGCTATTGCTCCAATACCCTGCGTGCCTGTTGCTATGTTCCCGGACATGATGATCATGGAGTTAAACCCTCTGGAACCTTGACCCCCAAATTAAATGCTTCTCTTATAAATTGCTTGGTAATGGCGTTCTGTCACAACAATAGAAAAGTAACTAAGAAATAGTTCAATATACATTTTAAATCAAGTCTTAAAACTATATTCTAAGGTGAGAATGAATATATAGGATATATGAAATAGTAGCAACAATGAACATTCTATGACTATAATTACTTATAGACCTATGACTTAGTACTTAGTTACATAACCTATATATGATACATGAAGTGCACAAAGTTCCCAATGTAACAATGCTGAAGTACCGTCTGTTTGGCTTTCTGCAGCTCTACTTTGAGATCATTGCATTCCTTCCTCATGAGCTCCAGCTCTTGTTCCAAACCATGGATCTTCAAGTCACAGCTTAACTTTTCTACCTCCCAGTTAGATGAGGGTGGATTTAAATTCCTCATCACTAGAAAAAGGATAGACAACAAAATAGTTATTTTTGCTTTTAATGCCAAATACAGTTCCTAGGTGACACTGGTAAAATATCAGTAAGTAACCAGCACAAAACAAGCATAAATACTAAGGCTCAGTCAGCATCATGAACTCCATCAAAGTTTGTAATTTGACTGACAGAATGCATGTCAAAACAACTTCACTCTTAAACATCTGACTATGGAACTTAACACAGCTGGAACCTACAGTACCTGACTTAGTCCTTCATTTCTCCATCTCCAAAATGTCCCGCCCATCAACCTGGGAAGATCTCACACTGAATTTTTGACTGAAAGGTCTGTCAATAGGGGTTTCTTTTGCTTATCTCACGAGACTGTAGATGGGAACAAGGCTATCATCTCTATTTCCCAGACAAACTTTCCTTTTCAGCATCTCATCTATACATTCCATCAACTTTCAGGAAGAAAAAGATTTAAGAGACAATCAGGCCACTCCATGACAACGTGTTTAATTGTGGGCAGTAAGTTCAGTAGGGAGGCCAAGTCAGGAGAACTCAATGGGTAAGAGTTTTGGAGAGGATGGGGTTTTGTCTTTGCTCCTCTACTTCATCACACTACCCTTGAATAAATACATCACATCTTCTGTAGGGAAAGTACAATTTTCAGATAAAGAAAAGTTAGTAAGATATTGTGTGAAAAAAAGAACAGAAAAAATTAGCCTTTATCATACAGATATAGGAAACGGATTATGAATATAACACACAAATGGAAAGATCAATTAATTCTATTAGAATATTCATAATAAGTAAGTGGCATACCCTGCTGAGTTTCCACCTCTGTTCTTAGCTGCAGAAGCTCTACTTCTTTAGACTGTAGCTGTTCATTCAATACTTTCAAAGATTCAGTGTTGTCTTTATTCTAGTTAAGTAGGGAAAATGCCAAATTACAGTCAATAAAATCTCTAGGTTTGTCTTATATCTTACTTTTTAGGTCAACATTTAATAAATCTCATTCTTACTTTTAAAAGCAAGATGGGGAAAATGAACCCTGATTCTCACTAATCTTTGTTTCTTAGGACATCACTGCTCACTGGATTAAAAACAAAACAAAAACAAAATAAAACGTCCACAATGAGTAATCTGACCTTATCATACTTTTTTCAAAGTCAGTCAGTGGTGCTAAGAGACTCTAAGTCCTTAACATCATTAAATACTAAGCATTTATTTTTGTATGTTATTGGAAAATATAGTTTTCCATATGCCATTAACATGTTTATTTTAATTAATAAATGTAAATGTTTAACCCTTTAATTCTAAATTTCTTGCAAGACAAAATAATTAAAATATAAAGTATTTTCAAATCAACTTACTATTTTCTCCAATTTGTTCTTCAAGCTGTCTCTCTCGATGCAAACCTCTCGATATGCATGATAGGCCTTATTCACTTGTTCTCGTCCCACAGAACTTGTTTCTTCATCTGCTCGAGCTCCGGCAAGCTGACAGCATGACATCAGGGAAGAAACCTTCAGTGAGTATTCTGCAGAATCATGGAAGTCCATCTCGTGGGGGCTCTACATCTTACTCTAACCACGGCAACCTAAGGATAAAGCCTACCTTTGCCTATAATTAAGTGACTATTGACTCCTACACAATCTCACTAACAAGACAAATATAATAGAAAAAAACTCAAAAAAGAAACCCAAACACATATATTTGTTGCTCAACAGTAATCTGTACTTTGTACTATCTGCTTTATAATATACGTAAATCATCACACTAGAATACAGTAGTCTTGGAAGTGTCCGGGTATTTTCCAAATCTACAGTATCTAATTTCTATCACCAGAAAAGTATCAAATCAGACTTGACTTCTTAAGGAATACACATGTCACTTCATTAAATCTTACATTATTCCAGCAATTGAAATTAATAGATTGATGGTCACAAAGTACAGATTTTGTATGTTAACTATGCACTAAATTCCATGATTTTATTGAAGTTTAAAAGCATAACTATTATGCTAATATATGACAAGCAGACTTAATTACTAAGTTAAAATGAATGAGAAGAAATTATGATAATACTAAGAAATGACTTCCTTGCTTTGCCATCCCACCAAGCGAGTAAGTTCTACCAACACCCACCCCTCAAGTTTTTAAATACAGGGAAATTTCTTAAGAACTCATTTCTTGGACTGGAGAGATGACCTGGCAGTTGGGAGCACTGACTGTTCTTCTAAAGGACCTGGGTTCAACTTCCACCACCCACGTGGCAGTTCATAGCTATGATTCCAGTTCCAGGGACTCTGACATCCTCATACAGAGACACATGCAGGCAAAACCCCAATGTACATTAAATAAATGAATTAATCTTTAAAAGAAAACAAACTCATTTCTTTTACCATTTGAAGTTCTTGTTTTTGTAAGATAATAATACAAACCTGATTTGAAGAAATAAACTAATTAGAACCTTAAAATGCCATAAATAAATGTGCAGCCAAGAAAAAGTTTGACATATAAAATCAAGTTAAGTCTGATGATTTAGAGTGCATTTCGGCTACCTCAGATAATATTAAAAAATGTAACCCTTAGTATGGGAAGTACACCTCACTGTCAGCTTCAAGGGTTACTCCTACTTTCCCCAGGAAAGCAAAGAGAATGCAGAAGCTAAGGGTCCGTCCAGTCCCGCTGAAGAGCTTGCCAACCACAGCGAAGCAAAGTCATTTACTAGGATCTTACTCTTCTGTACAGACTTGGAAATGCTGTTACAGGCATATACCAGGGCGGGGTGACAGTTCAGTTGGTAAATGCTTGTTGCACAAGTGTGCAGACCGGAGATCAATCCTCAGGTTAAAACCCTGGTGTTGTGTGTACTTGTAACCCCAGTAAAAGGGAGACAGTGACTGGAAGATTTCGAGGCTCCCTAGTCAGGCAGCCTAGTCTAATTAGTAACCACTGTGACCTAGTGTGAGATCCTGTCTCAACAAAGGTGAACAGCTCCTAAGGAACAACACCTGAAGCGTATTTCTGGCCTTCAAATATATGCAGGTACACATGTGTGTGCAACACACACACACACACACACACACGGAAAAAAACTGACAACAATACATAGCAATGACAGTAGGCAATATGAAAACAAGGAAAAGAAAATGCTGGAACAGAAAATCTTTAAGTTTTTAAATCCTGTCCTACGAGATTAGCAACCACATGGTACAACTGACGCAACATAGTTTAGTGGTGAACAATTTAGAAATTCTTACTTAGTCTTGGAAGACAGATTAGAAAATATTTTAAATTTCAAATATTTGGAATTATTCTTTATGTCAAATATAATCAAAAGAAAAAAATGACCTTTTCTTCCAAAGCCCTTATTCTTTTCTTTAAGAAAGAGTTTTCTTTCTCTGAATCTTTAAGTCTCTTCTTGATGTCTTCATATGCGGTGACAAGAGCAAAATGTGAAGCAACAGACTCATCTCCTGAATACCCTGAGAGTGGAGTCACCGTCTCTCTTCTGTGGGCTTTCTCATGATTCAGAATGCAGATGTCATCTTCTACTAGTGTGTCCATGGCAGCTATGGAGGCGAGAAAGCAGGGAAGACAAGCTAGATTTACAACATGAACACTGAGGACAACCTTAGAGCTATCCTTTCAGAGGGAGCACAGCGTAATTGCTATAAGCAAGCTGCCCAGGCTCTAACCCAAAAGAGAGGCAGAGGCCTGGACTAAGGTACAAGATCTCCTTTGAGGACATGCCTCTAATCATCTAAGGATCTTCCCTAATGCCACACTTCTGGAAGGTCCACAACACCATCACTACCACTGTGGGGACCAGACCATAACAGTTGTGAATCTACTTAACAAGTGTAAGTGTAAGGGGCTGGGTGACTTAGTGGGTAAGCTGTTAAGGCTCAGGAAATATTAATAGCCACTTTTATAATATAAAGGATGAAAATGATTACAGATAAAGAACTTAGATCCAGTACTATAATCCATTACTATTAAGTTCTATAAAAGTATGAAATTACACTGGATTAGGGTTCAGCAGTAGAACATTTGCCAAGCATGTATCAGGTTCTAAGTTGGATCCCTAGCTAAATAAAACAGGACTGTAAAATACTATTTTACCTAAAAGAATATTTTATAAAGTTACATATACTATAATAGATATCATATATAACTATATATAGCAAATCTATCTACCTACCTATCTAATAAATGCTGTGATGCAGTCTAATTTTAAAAAAGGAGGTAAAAACTGTACCCGCATTATTCACCTGACTTAAATATCAAACCTACCCTAATTGGATAGAATTTATTGAATTTGTGTATCTTCTAAAATCAGCTAAAACCAAAAACTAAGAAACTGCGATACAAAGGCAAGAAATACTTTTAAAGACCTGAGCTTTTTACACTTGTTTTAAACAAAGCTCCAAATAATTTAATTGTAATATCTGTATTCATTTTTACTATTAGTCATTTTCTAAGCAGAAATACAAAATAAAACCCACATAACTCAGAATGGCTTTGTACAGAAAAATGATTATAATGTATAGGTAAGTAATATATCTGAAACTTCTAGAGCTAGAGGGATGGGGGATGGTTTTCAAAGATGGTACCAAAATGACATTAGTTGACCCCTTATAAGCGAAGGAGGCATTTTGACTAAATTTAATCACATTTAACCTTTTGACAGTCTGCTAACTTCTAGTAGGTTCACAGTTTTAAAGACATGACAGTGAGGAGGGGAGCTGAAAGGGGAGTGACAGAAGGTAGGAGACAGACCAGAGAGTGAGTGAGGTTTACCTTTATGATGAAGAGGCTGTCAATTTTGGCCCTTATTCTATAAAATGTTTTCAAAGATAGCCTAGACATGACACTTACACTTGTTAAGAAGATTCACCACTGTTATGGTCTGGTCCCCACAGTGGTAGTGATGGTGTTATGGACCTTCCAGAAGTGTGGCATTAGGGAAGATCCTTAGATCATTAGAGGCATGTCCTCAAAGGAGATCTTGTACCTTAGTCCAGGCCTCTAACTCTCTTTTCCTACCTTGATGGGAGTTATTTCTCAGTGCCCTGCCACAATGGGCCACTTACTCCCCCCAGAGGTCCAAAGTCAAGACACCCATCTTAATAACTAAATTTCTAAAATTGGGACCCAAAAAGTTATCTTTTACTTCATAAGTAGCCCATTTACTCGCATTTCACATCAGAACACAAGGCTGAGTCATATAACCACCAATCAACTACTCGGCCCTGTGCTGCTCAGAAGCATCCACTTTAATTCCCAAGGCTCCCTACAATAAGAGGTAGAAAGTCTTATTGTAGAAGAGGAAATTGGCCAGGGTGGGTCAGATTAGTGTTCAGCAGATGCTGTCTTGTTTTAGAGCCAGAGTTACTAATATTTTCCCCTCCACAATCAACCTTCTTTTTTTTCCCAAAGAAAACCTCACATCCTTAGAAAACGAGCAGGGAAGCTCACATCTGTAATCACAGCACTTGGAAGGCTGAGCTGGAACGACTACTACCAGTTCAAGGCTGCCTGGGCTAGAGAGTCCTAGGCAGTCTTGGGCTAGCTACAGTATGGAACCCTGTGATAATGTAGCTACAAAACCAGCCAGCTAGCCCACAAGTTTGATGCTTCTGAGTAAATGGCACTAAAGTTAAACAATCAAGCTAATGCTAATATGCAACATTTTAAGAAACTTGCTTGTACCTATTCTTATTTACCATAATTAAAAAAATACTTACATTCCAATAATCTTTAGCAACTTAGTATCAAGAATAGACAAACACAGTCACTGGACTGCTGCTGAAGTCTAGCGGAGGAGCATCTCTCTAGCATAGAGAAGCCTGGGATTCTATGTTAAATCCTGCAAGGTGACAACAGTTGCTATGAGACAATGCATCTACCAGGTAGCAGGTCACAGCACTCCTCTCCTTCCTTCCGCTCTTAACACGCTTTCCACCTTCTCTACCCGGATGATCTCCGCACCGCTGGTGCCGAGATTAATACAGATGTTTCACGCAGGGCTGGGCATTCAGTCTCTAATTCTCATCACTTTGACCCAGCACGCATCTCGCCAGTGACTGATGACCACTGCAAAAGGAAGCTTCTCTGACAAAGTCTGAGAGCAGCCCTGATTTGCCCATGCCTGCAGCAGGGCTGACCGAGGGAGTTGGGTTGAGTGGTTTGGGCCTGGGGAGGATTGGGAAGCCCTTACCCGCCTGCACTGAGGTTAGGGTTAGGTGGGGGTAGGAGTTGGACCTCGTGCTCAAACCAAATACAGGTTCTTCATAAAACACACTGAATGTTGTGATTGTAATTTTTCCCAATAAGAATCCAGACAAGCTCTATGATACAATGGCCTAAGGTTAAGAAACTCAAGTTCTAGTCTATGATCTGTCACCCTGATTACATACTAGTTCACTACAGCTCTCTGGATCTCAACTTTCACAGCTATACATAACAGGCTTGGATTGTATCATTAAAATACCACCTCCTAATCCAAATACAGAATGGCAACCTGAACAGATAAAAAGAAACTCACAGTTGTGTCAGAAACTGGCTGATAAGTTAGATATATTTACATTAAACTTGGCTAGAAAAAAGCTACCAACACCAGAGTCAAGGAAATCGACTTAAAGAGGTGAGTAAATGTCTTTATGATCACACCTGTGGCACGTGAAGGAGCTGGGGTTTGAATTAAGGCCTACTGTGCATTACTTTCTAAACTGAATACTGTTTAGAATTTCCACTGGCGGGCTGGAGAGATGGCTCAGAGGTTGAGAGCACTGACTGCTCTTCCAGAAGTCCTGAGTTCAAGTCCCAGCAACTATATGGTGGCTCACAACCATCTATGAGATCAGGTGCCCTCTTCTGGCCTGCAGGTGTACGTGCAGGCAGAACACTGTATACATAATAAATAAAATCTTTAAAAAAAAATTCCAATGGCTTCCTATGTCTGAAAAGTTAGGATATTTGAGAACCTACTTCATCTAGGTCAATTAAACAGTGGGCAATAAAAGATTGTCTTATGGAGGAGAACCAGGAAATAACAAGTGACTCTTCTCTCATTTTAAATAATTAGGGGCAGGAATGGCTTCTGTTCCTTTAAAAGGGATTCTCAAGGACCCTTTTAAAAAGATGCCAGCACTTCATCGATGCACCTTTCAAACCATATGCTCTGTAATTCATTAAGTCTCCAAAAGCTTAAGCACTATCAGATATGCAATATGAGCAATTCCATTTTCATGATGATCCTGACTCACGGCCTGCAGTAGTCCAGAGCCCAGCTGCCATGGCTAAGGCTTTCAAGACTCAAGTACGACTCTGTCGGCCTTCCCTCACTCCTCTACTGCAGTGCATCTCAATGCAACCAACACCCCCATGAGATACTGTCAATAACTATTTTCTAACAATGAGACAACTTCAATTCAGGGAAGTGCCATTAAAGTTAGGCTGGTCCCATTCACAAGTTTTATTATTATTATTATTACTGCATCACTTCACTCAGTGGGCACTACAACGACCTGCGCTAACATGAACGAAGCACTTCTGGTTTAGGCAGTTTTACACTAGACACTGTGCTTCACCGTATTTTTTTAAAGAGGTCTCACTGTGTAAGGGGCTGGCCTGGAACTCAGAAATCAGCATGCCTGTTTCCCAAGTGCTGCGATTATTTAGGGCGCGTGCCACCATACGCAATGTGTGCTTCACCTTTTAATGAACTAGGTAGTTCTTAAGAATTCTTTAAATCAAGGTAAAAACACTGAGATGGGTAAGCACGTCTCAAGTCACAGGTGAGGTAATTACACATGCAAACAGGTTGCCAACGCAGAGCCAGTCCAGCTCTTAGAGACTGCTATCTGAAAAGGGGAAAGCAAGCAGGAGCAAGAGGCTTAACCTCTAACTCGTGTTATGTGAACAGATGGAAAATTCAATGCTTACATCCCAGGGTTTTTGATCTAATCCACTGCCGTTTCCCATGACAGCATGCTGGCTCTTAGATATTAAACGCTCACATTTGCATGAAAACGAACATTTACGAACCTTAGGGCAATCAGTATTTTGTAGCGATCCAGCAAATAATCCCAACTATTCCCAGTTTGAGAAGAAGGAGTGAGCAACGCGGACTGGGTCACGACATTTTTGGAGAACAAGAAATGAAACTGCTTTAAGGTTTTGTTCACTCCAACTAAAAACTCAAATGGGGGGCGGGACGGGGGATGTCTTCTGTATTTAAAGAGCAGAGGCCAATTTCAACCCCAGTGGTCAATGTTTTTGATTATTGTATTATTTTGTTCTGAGCAATTTATGTTCTGATTTGTAGTACCTTCCATGGGTAGTCTATCTCACCTCTAAGAACCGAGTTCCCGGTGAGGAGGACTGGAGTGCTAGCCTACCTTGCAATACAGCCAAAAAAAGACTGACGGTCACTGCCCAGACGCCATTGACAGTACCCGTGTCCCTTTCCCTTTCCGACATAAATGCCACCACAGTGCAGGAAATAAAACTGAAAGTATTCCCAGTCGATCAAAGTACGGCCGTGAAGGCTTGGGAAGAGCCTGTGGCAGCCGGGCGGTGGGGATGACAGGGGCTGGGGATGCTACGCTGGGCCACTCCGTACCGCAGAGGGGCGCCGGGGACGGAAGACGACGTGTGTGTGGCCACAGCCACCAGGCCGGTCCAGGCCGTCTGCACCCTCCCGGCGAGCGCGAGCGATCCACTCACCCTGAACCCTGGCTACGTAGGGCCGCCCCCAAGGCCACCGGGTTTCGCTTCCCCAGTGTTTGGAAACCGACTGAAAACAAACCGGGTCGCCAGGGGTCACCACGGGCTTCCGGTTTCCTCGAAGACACCGCCGCTCCCCTCGTCAAGGTGGCCGCCGCAGGTGTACCGAGGGAGTCCCATGTCTTCGGCCGCGGCTCCCGCAGGCCTGTCGTCGGGGGGCCCTGGAGGTCACGGGCGAGCGGAGCAGGAGCGGCCCGGGGCCGCCCGAGCAGGCCCGTTACCCAGCAGCACGCGCGCCAGCTCGGCTGACGAGAGGTTTCTAGAAGGGGCCACGAACGCCCCGCAGCCCACAAAGGTGTCGCCGCTGCACACACCCTGTGAACCAGCGCAGGGCGACGAAACCGGAAGCGGGACCTGAAGGATCTGCGGGCACCGCGGAGCGGCGCTCTGGCCGGGAAGGGCGGGGCGTACTACAAGTCCCATGAGCCTCTGCGCGGGCGCGGGGTGGGGGGGGTTGCACCACGAGTCCCGTGAGCCTCCGCGGCGGGGCGCACTACGAGTCCCAGTGGTCTCCGCGGCGGGAGCGGGGTGAGGCGTCGCAGCGGGCCGCGGGGAGGCGGAGTGGAGCTGGGAAAGTCGCGGGCCGGCTGCAGCGGGGCTGAGGCCCGTGTTCAGGGCGCCCTCTAGCGCGTTCTTTCCACTCAGCGGCCTCGCCGGTTCCGGAAGGTGGGTGGCTGCGGCTCGGCTTGGCGGCGCCTGGCGTGGTGGCTGCTGACCCGCGAGCTGACGTGCGTCCGCGCTCCCTGGAAGCCATGCAGGCCCCGTGTTGCGGGTCGCGCGGCGATCTCCCTGGGTGTCCTGTGAAGCGAGGTCGCTGTGTGTTTCCCACGCCCCTCACTGGCTCAGTTGGGGTTCCGGAATCCTCTTCAATGACGTAGGAGAAGAGGGGACCATGGCCAACTTAGGCTTGTTCAGGCTTCCTTAGAGTTGCCCCCACCCCCCACCCCTTGGTTAATTCTAGGTAACAACCTCTCCTTTTTTTGAGGCAGGGTCTTATGCATCCCAGGGTGGCTACAAACACACGTTTTCCAACACCAGGTGAAGAATGAGCATCTATTAATTCTCGCTGTCTATAGCTGACTAAATCGTTTCCTTTTTCTCGTTTTTCTTTCTTTCGTTCGTTTTTTCGTTCTTTCTCCCTTTTCCTTTTTCCCCTTTTTTTCTTATTTCCCCCTTTTTTTCTTTCTCCTCCTCTCCGTCCTTCCCTCCCTCCTCCCTCCCTCCCTTTCGGACCTGGAGGGCTTCAAGTAGCCCAGACTGGCCTTTAGACTCTTGAATTTCTTGGTCCCTGTGCTTCCACTTCCCAGCTGCTGGGTTCACACACATTACCAAACTCTGTGCAGCTCTAGAGATTGAACCCGAGGTCTTGTGCATGCTGGGTAAGCATTCTACCTTGCTGCCTCTCTTGAGGACAATGGATTGTGTGCTTAGGTATAGATGAGTTAATTACAATCTTGGGGAGTCACAGACAGAAGAAGCCCACAGGCTCCAGATTATTTCCGGTTAACTGTGAGAGTCAGTTATAGAAAGTTAACGTCCATTTACTGCCGACTAGAAAAGCTCATGTTTCTTGGTACATTATTAAATACTATTTTGTCAACTGGAACCATAAACGTTGGTGTTCTGTAGGAAGGTCTCTCAGGATATAACACTGTCTCTGGGTAGGTACCCTTTTCACTGGAGTAGATCTGCATTTGAAAAAATAAAATAGATGGACCCTGGCATAACTCGTGACTGTGATGCAGCTCTCTTTGGGGCAGATACTTATTTTTTATAATTATACAAGTCTTATTTTGATTAATTAGCTTGTTTGAGCAATGAAAAAATTTTTTAAAGTGTTATTGTTTTTAATGTGTGTGGTGCTTTGCCTGCTTGTGTATGTTCATGCAGTACACATGGAGGCCAGAAGAGGGCACTGTATCACTGCCATCAGGAGTTTGCATAAGTTGTGAGCCTCCCTGTAGGTGCTGAGAATTGAGCCTAGATCCTTGGGAAGAGCAGGCAGTGCTCTTAACCACTGGGCCTTCTATCTAGCGCCAACTTTTTTGTTTTAATTTTTTTAAGTTCTTCATCTCTGAAAAATGCTTTAGTACGAATCATGTTTTTAGAGAAATAAAATTTTCAGTGAGTTTCTATATATAAATTGTATACTGAAATTCCATCATTCCACCCCCTGGATCATATTTTCTGTGGTCTGTTCTATATTCTGAATACTGTATTCTTTGTGGACCTTGTTAGACGTGATTCTTAATGTCAGCTGAACAGAATTAAGGTGTCAGAATTGCGACACTGTAAGAGCTGAGTCTTCCTGTTGGTACCGCCCTCAATGTCATGCTATCAGTACGTTTTTAAAAGCATTCTCTCTATATGTCTTACATACAGACAAAGTCTTCTAGGGAGGGAATAGTTTTAATAAAAATATTAAGTATTAAAACAGTTTTTAAAATACTAGCAAAATCAAAGAACTTGGTATATAAGAAAACTTGATGTATAAGTTACTTTTCTCATTGTTGTAGCAAAAAAAAAAAATCCTCGGCAAAAAGTGATTTAAGGAAGGACAAGTTTATTTTGACTGACAGCTTAAGGGTGCAGTGCATCATAGTGGGGAGGCATGGAGACAGGTGACTGATCACTTTGTGGCTGCAGTCAGGAAGCACAGAGGGAGGAGTGCCAGTGTTTGCTGCCTTCACCATTTTTATTCAGTCTGATGCCCTGGCACATTGAATGTTGCTGCTGCCCACATTAGGTTAGCTCTTCCTTCCTGTGTAGCCCAGTCTAGACAGCCTCACCTTAGGCTAGGGCTTCCTTCCTGTGTAGCCCAGTCTAGACAGCCTCACCTTAGGCCAGGGCTTCCTTCCTGTGTAGCCCAGACAGCCTCACAGACACATCCAGAGGTTGGTTTCCATGGTGATGTTAAATTCCATTTAGTCGACAATCAAGATTAACCCACACATCCCTTGCCAACCTGAGAAACATGTCAGTTTAAGTCGTAACATTCCATCCCTGTCCCCTAGTGTTTCATTTTCATCTCATAATGAAAAATACACTTACTCTACCTTTGAATGTCTCTATCATCTTTCACAGTACTGACATTGTTCAAAAGTGTAAGGGCAGAGTCTCTTCTGGGACCAAATCATTTAACTGTAACATTTACCCCCTTTTACATGAAAAAAAAAATCAAAAGAAACAAACAAAAACCAAAACATGTTACGTCTAACATGCAATAAATAATTCCACAGAATAAATAGTTCTATCCCAAAAGGGAGGGATGGGCATATAATAAGGAAAAGTCATACCAAAGTAAGATCAAAACCCCTCATGGTAAACACCAAGCCCCTTAGCTCCATGTCCAACATCTGGGTCTGGTGATGGATTCATCTGTGTTCCAAAAGGACTTTTGTATTCCCGACCAGCTCTTCTGCCTGCAGCAACATCGCCTTTCTCTTGGGCCTTCTCTACTTTGTACCAGCAGCTTTTCTCAGCAGACAACCAACCTTCCTGACAATTATACAACCTTGGGTCTCCATTGTAATTTAGGCTTCATCTTCATAGCTTCATGCTGTGGCCAGTGGAGCTTTGAAATGTCCCCCTCAACCTTGCATCTTTTATGCCTGCCAAACCAGTACCATATGGACAGCACTGCCAAGTTTTGCTACCAACTGAATCTGACCCCTCTTGAACCACAGTTACAACAGCTTATCTGCATTGCTGTGACAGAATGCCTGGAAAAGCATCTTAAGAGAAAATTTACTTCAGACATTGGCTCACAGTGTGAGGGAATCATGTCAAGAAAGTCCTGAGGCAGCTGTTAGATTTATCTCATCCACAACTGGAAGCAGAGAGATAAAACTTGGTGCCAGCTCTCTTTTTAAAATTTTTTAGTCAAGGACTCTCACCTAAGGGATGATACAAAACATGGTTGGTCTTTCCTCCTCAGTTAACCCAGCCTAAAAACTCCCTAGCCAGATATCTGTTTCCATGTGATTCTAGACCCCATGAAGCTGGCATGAAGGTTAAGTATCTCAAGGCTACTAGGAAAGTCTCGGGCTACACATTGAACTCCAGCCCACCCTCATTGTATCACATAGCTCAAAAACAACATAAAACAAAAAACTAAAAATAGAACTAGCACATGATCAAGTAATCCTGCTGCAGGGTGTTTTCCCCCAAAAGACTAATAATGGGATCTGGAATGGGAATGTTCATTTCATCGGTGTTCTTAATGCTAAGATGTGGAATGGTGACTGGACAATGGAAATGTGGTATAAGAAGACAGTGGCATATTGTCTAGTCTTACGAAAGGAAGCCCTGTTATTTGCAACAACACAGGTGAAAATGAGAAAATTGGGCTATTTAAAATAAGCCAGGTACTGAAACACTAAAAAACTACAGGTTTAATTTATGTGAGATCAAAACAGTCCCTCACTGGCAGCTGTCCTGTGTACGTCTATATTACATAGATCAGCTACTAAGATTTAAATTGGCATTTAGTATAATTTATAAAGTTTCTATGATTATTTTCTTTGTTTTATTAGTTTTTACTTTCCCTTGGAAAAATTTTTAAAGATTTATTTTTTTTAATGGTATGCATGTGTTTATGTGGACATGTACATATAAGTATGGGTACCTACAGAGGCCAGAAGAGGGATTCTGGACATGTGGAGCTGGAGTTATAGATGATTGTGAGCTGCCCAGTGTGAGTGCTGGGAACTGAATTCTAGTCCTATGCAGAACGGTGCATGCCCTTAACCGCTGAGCAGTCTCCAGCCCATCCTTGAATATTTCTAAAGCAGTAGACTATAGCTGCTTCAAGAAACCTAGCCTTTAATCATGTTGATGGATTTTTTTTTCCCTGCTACTTTGGTTTCTCAAATGGGATGAAATCCACCAGAATATTCACTATTGGACAAGATAAAAAATTATTATTAAGCATTTTAGAACTATGCTAGAAGCTAACCAGCAGTATCTGCATAAACTAGCCTCTAAATGATAGTCTCGCACAGATAATAGGCTGTTAATAAGCTTTTGTTGAATCATTAAGTGTAATCTAAAGTTGACTTATAGGCACAAATTTGTTAATTAGGTAAATGAATGAACAGTGAATGTTAAATTTGCATCATAGAGGAGATTAAGGATAAATGCACTTTAAAGATTAGATGCAAACTAAATATTTAAGTTCATCATTTGAGAAAAAAATCATGAAAGACAGGATAATTAGCATGTTCTCATTCTGCATTTGTTCTTGCATATTTCAATTTTCTTAACTACATTTAAAAGGAGTTTAAAAAAAGAAATCTCACATTTGTTGATTCTTCTGTGTGCCAAGCACTAAAATGGGTTTTTCTCATAGATTATTTTTTGCATCTGTATCTGTGTTTATGCATGCTCATGTGTAGGCATGTGAATGTCTGGGTATGTGCACTTGCAAGTGTGTGTGCACATTTGTGTATGGATGTCTTTCTTGACTTTTCTCTATATTTTTATTAACCAAAACAGTTGCAAGATTAATTTCTTTGGTGTATATTATTTGCACAAAATAGTGGATTTCAACATGACATTCATACATATGTACTCTGTACTTTGAGCATATTGACCCCTTGTTCACACTGCCTTGGCCCCATCTACCCTCCCTCTGGGTTCTCCATCATATATAAACAAGTTTTTTT